ACTTTCCTTCTTTCCCCGCATTCCGGGGTCCCCCCCGGCCGGAATTGCTCTCCTGGTTCCCGCAGGGCGCCACGGCGCGATTCCCTGCCGGGTTCCCGGGGCGCCTTGGCTAACTTCGCGGACCCAGAGACCGGCGGCGCTCGCCTTCCGGCCGCAGCCAGCTCGCGCCGCTCCTCCGCTTAGGCGGGCCGGGGCCCGGGCTCCTTGGCCGCCGGGAGGGCGTCCAGTCGGGCCCCTGGAGCCGGGCCGCTGGACCCTCGCGCCGGCCGCCGGCGCACGACTGGAGACCGTGGATTAACCCGAGCGGAGCCCCGACCTCCCCGCCCCCAGCTCCCCGGAGGGGCGTCCCCTGGGCGGGGAAACGACAAGTTTGCCAGTCGTCGGTGGCCTGTGGGATCGAAGCGCCGCTGCCGCGGCAGAAGGGTCTCGGGCGCCCAGCACCTCGCGTGGACAGCCGGGGGACCCGGAGCGGCTCTGCAGCCGGCCTCCCGGGGCCGGAGCCCTCGCTGGCTGCCGAGCCGCGCGCGCCGAGGTTCCCGGGGCCAGGCCAGCGCCCTCTGTGTCCCCGCGCGGGCAGCGGCCCCGCTGGAGGAAAAAAAATCACAAAACCGAGTCGCTGCCTTCTGGATCTCCTGGTCCCCGTCTCTGTCACCCTCTCTGTCGCCGCTGGAGGAAGAAGGGGGCGCAGGGGGCGTCGCGGGGCCCCGGCGGATGCGTCCCCCGCCGCCTCTCGGGCTGCGCCGCCTCGCGGGGATGAAGCTCAGGCCGTGAAGATGGAGGTGACCTGCCTTCTACTTCTGGCGCTGATCCCCGTCCACTGCCGGGGCCAAGGAGTCTACGGTAAGAGCCCGCGTCCTGCTCCAGCCAGCGTGGGCAGGCGCGCTCCACCCGCGCCCGCTGCGCGCGGAAACTTTGCAAGAGGCGCAAAGTGCGCGCTGCAGCGATTTGGTGCCCCCCACTCCAATCCACGCCCCGGTTTGGGACCTCGAGTGGATACCCGCCTCCCCGCCCTCTCCTGGGCGCTAGGAGACGGAGCTAGGGTCTGATGTTGAAGCCAGGGAAAAACAGGGGTAGGTACACACCTTCCCAAACCTTGCTGGGGATGGGAGTGACGTGGAATCCTTGAGAGCACCCACCCGGCTCAGGAGACCCCAAAGGCCCCAAGTCCGGCCTTGGGGCAGCAACTTGCACGGGAACTTGCTCCTCAGGGCCGGCTCCGGAGTTGGAAGCCTTGCGATGCCCGATCCGGAGTTGAGCGCGGCTGGCGGGATTAGTCGCCTGCAAGCCCCGTGGGCTGGCGGGTTTGCCTTCGCTGTTCTCGCTACGGTTTCGCGTCTTTTACTCGTTTCCGGACCGCCTGAGCGGACGCTGGGCCCACGGGCTCTCGCGTCGGTCACCCCGCACCTATCCTGACCTCTCCTGAGTCAGTTCTTCCTGCCTTTGGTTCCCAGCTACAGAAACCCAGCCCCACCTTCCTTCCCAGTGCACGCACACGGACGCATCCAGCCACCGTTCCCAGGAACCGCACGCGGCACGCACCCACCTGGCTACAGGTCCAAACTCTGCCTCCTGCCATGGGGCTTTGCTCCTTTGCCCCCATGCCTCGATCTTGGCGCCAAGGGAAACTGAGGCCACTGTTCCCCACACTCGGGCCGGGGCGGGCGGGGAAGGAGGGAGGGTGTACCTCCAGAGCGGCCTGGAGAACAAACCCCTCCAGTTCCCTTGGCTCCTTAGTGCCCTGACCCAACAAGGTACAAAGTCATTCTTGAGGTGCAGCCTGCTCCTGGCCGCTGGGTGGTTTTTGCAGGCCACTTTTTAATGATGTGTAGCTGGAGTGGGGAGGATTCTCCCTCCTTTCCTCTCTGGGGGAGGGCTACCTGGTTTGCCTTTGGATCAGGGTAAAGTGGAACCTGTTCTGTGCAGGGATGGCAGGGGCATTGTCCCCCCAGGCTGCTGGTCGCAGGTGCACCTGCTGAATGCTTCCTTCTGGAAGGTGCCTAGCCTGTCTTTGCCTGTGCCTGACAAGAAGGACAGGTGTCCTGGGGGTGGTGTGGTGTGTGTGTGTCTGGGAGGTGACATGTTCCTGGCCCTACACAGCTAGCTGGCTTAGGCTTAATTCTCTAGTGAGGCCGGCCCAGGCATCTGGCCAAACTCTGCTTCTTAATTAGTTTGTGTGTCTCTTAATGCCTGGCCCTTTGCATAGGCCAGAAAAGGCAGGGAGAATGGAAAAAGCAATGAGGATTGGAAGAGGCTGGGTGGAGGCAGGAGGCCTCTGAGCCATCTCAGAATCCTTGGCCTCTCCATCAGAAGGAAACTCCCAAGGTTCTATGAACCTCTCTTCCCTCTTTCTCCCCAAGGTTCCCTACTGCTTCTTTGCCTCCCTAGAGGTAGCCTGAATGGGATGCCACTTAGGCCTTTGCCCCGTCCCCCGACCCCAGTGCGATGAAGCCCTGCTGTCTGCTGCTGTCCTCCACCCTGCCCCACCTTTTGCATGCCCTTGGGTAGATCAGGTGGCCCACCTCCTGACCAGGTCGCTCCCTCCATCCCCTCCAGCGCCGGACTTGTGCAGTCATACCTCGGGGAGGCTCTTCTGGGCCTCTCCTGGAAGTCCCTGGCCATGAGGGTGGAGCACAGGGGACAGCGGTCTTCATAGACCCTTCTTTCAGTGTTTAGGGGTGAGGGCTCAGTCCTAGGCTTCTCTGCCCCATTTCCGTTCTGTATTTCCTCTCCGCAAAGCAAGGAGCCCTGGCCTGACTCTTGGGTGGTTCTTTCCATCTCCTCTTTGGGAAGACTGGGACCCCGGGGGAGCTGCAGAGGTGGTGGGGTCTGAAATTTAGTCTGAGTGGGGAGAGCAGGGCAGGAGGCCATCGAGGTCTTCGTGGTGCTAGAAGCTTCGATCTGATACAATAGAAGGGAGCACCTTTGAAGGCCTAGGACCCATTTCGGGAGTATTCTGTGAGCCAGGAGAGAGTCTCTGGGTGTTGCAAACAGTTAGGCACTCAACGGAAAGGTTGGCGGTTCAAATCCACCCAGAGGTGCTTGGAAATCGGCCTGGTGATCTTACTTCCAAAGGATCAGCCAGGGGTAACGCTGTGGGACCGTTGGGCTCTGACACCCAAGGGACAGGCATGAGTGTTGGAGCTGACTGGATGACGACTAGGAAGGAGAGCTGCTGTTAGGTCTTCTGCCCGCCAGTGTCTTCCTGCCTGGAAAGCAGGTGTAGCTGCTTGAGAAAGAGCGGGCGGGGACAGGGACTAGGGGCAGCCATCGTTGAATCCCTGCCCCCAGCCTGGGTCTGGTGTGCAGCAGGACTCTGCAGACATTTAAGGAATGAAATGTATGGCCATGCTGCTTGGAGTTCTTGCTCATTAAGAAGGCCGTCTGGCCAGCAGGGTGGTGGGCACCTTGGAGGGTCTCTGCATAGGGAGCATCCGAGATGCCTAGGTTGGCAGCCATCGAGGGCTTTGGGGAGGAGAAGGAAGCAAGAGGAGACCGGAAGGCAAGCTGCTGGGCACTGGGGAGGGAGGCCTCCAGTTTTAATCCAGGCAGAGGCGAGTGTGCCCTCCAGCTCCTGCCCCCTTGCCCTGATGCCTGAGTGGCTGAAGGAGGGGCAGGTGAGTGTGGTGGCTGAACTGAGGAGGTGGGAGGAAGAGAGATTGTGTGTGGTGGGCAAATCGACCAGGCCCTGGCTTGGGCTGTGGGTCCGTGAGGGAGGAGGCAGGTGCGTGGAGCCCCGTGGGTGCCCTGCACCTTCTGAGGGTCTTCCCATGGTCTCGGAAGTCTGCTGCCAGCAGCGGGGCTGGGGAGGCATTCCCAGTCTCACCAGGTGGCTTCCCTCCTCTTTGGGGCACAGATGCAGCAGTAGCCGAGTGCTGGACCAGATGGTCCATTTGGAGCCGGTCCTCCTTCCCCTAGCTTTCCAATCTCCAGGCCCAGTTTGTTGTCCTTGGAGGATGGAGCCTGTAATCTGCTTTCTGGCAGGCCAGGAAGGTGAGACCTAGTTGTGGGGCAGCAGTAGTGGCTAGGTAATGGCAGGGAAGTATCCTGTGGGTGGGTCTTCTCCCCTAAACATTACCTCCTCCACCCTGGCCACCCCACCTCCTCCCAAAGCAGCTCACCCTCCAGGCAAGAGCTGGCCAGCGGGATTCCACTCTTGCACACCCCCCCCCACCAAACCCCTGGATTATTTAATATGCAGGAGTAGGAATTGACATTATCCTTAAGACAGGTTGTTTGCAACTTACTGGTGGAAGTCAAAATATTTCACCAAAGGTGTCATCAGAAACTACTATCCTATGCTAATTCTTGTGGGAACATGAAGACAGATGTTGAATAATTTGACAAGAGCAACATAGCTTACAGAATTATCACCAAGTCAGGTTTTTTTCCCTCCTCTGGGGCTTGTGGGAGAAGGAATTTCAGGAATTGTCTCTCCAGTGCTGTCATCGCTGCATTGACCTGGGGGTGAGCACTCTGGAGTTGTGTCACCGGTGCCGCCCTGGGTCTGGGGCCTGGCCCATCATGCCTGGGCTTCCCCCTGGAGAAGGCTGAGATATTGCAAATGGAAACCCCTGCTTCCTAGGACTAGCAGAAGGCGCTGGCTTTCTTGAACCTCTCTGAGAAGGTTCACACCTCTTTCTCTTCTTTCTCAGTTCTAGAATGTGTAGGAGAGAGAAAGAGAAGGCGTCATGTCCACAGAGCCAGGCTGTCTTGTTGACTTCGCCAGCATCGCCTGTCTTGTCACTGCCCCTCAATTAGGTTGGCCCCTGAGCCAGCCGGAGGGCTTCCCAGGGCCTTGGTGTAGGGCTGGAAGGTCCCATTCAGGTCCATTCTCCTCATGCTGTCCCTGCAGGCTGGTGCACTTCTTGGGTGGGTGGGAGGCCGGAGGTTGTGGGGGATTCGATTCACTGGGAAGATGACCTGGAGGGATGGATTGGTGATGTGCTAACGGCCCACGTGTAATTGGCTAGGCCTGGCCGCTGGGGTGGTAAAACCTCGATGAGAGCCTGGTATTAGCTCTGCTTTGCTGGAACATGGAGGGCGGATGGGCGCTCCGGAGGGAGTGTGGAGGGAGCTAATCACAGCCGCTGAGGCCCAGCAAATGAATGATGCAAGGAATCAATACCTGGGGGCGGGAGTGGAAATCCGGGGAGTGGTAGTAGCCCTGGCTTCTCTCTGCTGCCCATTAGGCACGGGCAGACCAGGGAGGAGTTAGACAGAGGCAGGAGGATGCAGGAGGTCCCTGCTCCCCGCCCCCCCTTGCCCCTTGTGACTGGACTGGGAAGCCCCCTCAAGAGAAGCCCCACCCGGCAAAAACAGGAACCTGGGAAAAGGGACCATGGGCCTCTCAACCCTAGAAGAGTCCTGCCCTAACCCTGATCTGTCTTCTGGACACCTGAGCCTGATCTGGCCCCAGGTGCTGAGCTGGGGGTCCCTGCCTGGGGGCCCTGCCCTGTGCTGCTGGTGCTGCTGCTCCAGATGTGGCCAGCAGGGGGAGGGCTTGGCCGACACATTGCTTCTTGCCTTTCCTGGGATCTCAACCTCCTTCCTCCTGCGGGAGAAGAGTAATCTCTCAGCCTGGGGCTGCCTGAGGCTCCTCAGAGCCTTCTAAAGCTTTGATTTAGGGCCAACGCCACCCCCACCCCCCCTGCCCCTAGCTCTGTGTAACTATCATACTATCCGAGGGCACCGCCTGGAAGCCAGAGTCACATTTCCTGCAAGCTTAGACCACCGTTTCCCTCAGGCCAGAAGAGTGCTCTGTGGTGGACCCAGCCAGGGGGCTCCTGCCAGGTGAGTCTGTGTGCCCACCACCAGCAGGGCAGGGGCTTGTTCCCATGCAG